TGTTACCATTTTCCCACTCTCACATTTGTCGCTAAGTGTCAACGATTACAGCAGATCTCTGCCGAACGTTAGCAATCATCCTAAGGGACCTCATTAAGCAATAAGGACAAAAACGCCGTGGAAACGCCAATTCAGTAAAAATGAATTTTTAATTTTTCTTACGAATTTTGCGAATTTCTAGATCCAATAATCATCTCTAACGACCCTTGACCTTAGCTTTGAACTAAAATAAGCATCTCCTTCGTAGATTGTAATTTTGATGGTAGGTACAAACATAGTGCGAATGATATTTACAGCATGTGGAAAAAAATAGGCTATTGGACGTTACATGATAACAAATCAGATCAGTTAAGTTATCAAGAAAATTGTACGTCCTCTTGCACATCAACTCATTAAGAATTAAAAAAAAAATTAAATTGGGCCAAAATTTTATAGAAGTTTTACCAAGGAAGATTTCATATTTTTGTGATAAAAATATTTCAAGCAGATGCATAATAATTCAAAACGTCTTTAAATGAAATTGAAATTAGTGGGTAAACAATATTATGTCCTTCAGTCGATAAAACTTTTCTTTAGAAGGACGTAGTCGGTCAATAACGTTCGTGGTTGTTTATCGTTGACATTCGCATTTGCTTTTCAATTACTTGTAAAGGAAAGGTAAGTCGGAATATCAGTTACATCAAATTAAGAATTTTTTTTTCTATTCAAAGAAAGTGTCTTTTTGTGGTTATAATTGCGACTACAGGTGCAAGGTATTTTTGTAGACGTGTAATGCTCGTATAGCAGGGTACTATAGATTGTAATATTTCACGCGCTATTCTAAATTGACCATAATTTAGGATCATACTGTTTCGTCATTTCTTAATCCATAGCTTTCGACTGTCGCTCGTTAGAAACAAAGGGGCCGATATTTCCTAATCTAAGGGGCTGTATTTCCTAATTTACGATGCGTCATATGCAAGCGCATTTACTTTGTATACTTTTGATCGTTCGATAACATTAAAAATCGCGAAAAAAAAGCACAACGATACAGAACGAAAAAAAAAAAAAAGGCAAAATCTTTGTTTTTTTATGATACGTCTTCATAAGTGAAACTAACAGTCCGAGTTAATTCTTTTACTTAAAACTGCATGACTGACAACCTCCCTAATTAAATATCATTAAATGAACACAACGTTAATTAACATGCAAAACAGTGTGCTAGAAACCATTCATCACACAATAATAATTTGTGTGTTAGATCCTGGTTACGTGCTCAAAGTCAACTTCAATTTCTCTGTTGGAGCAGTGAAGCCGAGAAGCCGAGAAGCAAATAAACTAAATTAAGTTTAAAAGTGTGAAGCACTTTAATTTTTGACTTTGCAGAAGTGGATTGTTAATTCTGAAGGTAAGTAAAAACTAAGTAGCTAAAAGCCGAAAACAGAAACGCATACGATAACAATTATTGGAGATATAATTTTAAAATTCGAGTAAAATGACGAAAGCTACTCAGACTTGAAATTTTTCATCGCGAAAAAAAAGATTCCTGAAAATAAATCTGAATATTTTGTACAAGAAGCACTTTTACCATTAACTCTCATCACAAGACAGTATTATGCGAAAACAAGTTTGTTTTCAAGGAAAATGGCTTGGCCTTCAGACATGAAGAATCAGCAGCACGTCCCAAGAACAGCTCTTTTTGCTGACGAAGAGCAGATTGCTGAAAATGAGATTAGTGAGGGAAATAGCTAAGTCTTTGAATCTCTTTCCTTCTCGCAAAAATCGTGAAAGCTATGGAAATGAATAGCGAATATAAATCTTGAAGTCAAGTCTTATGTGTAAGATAAGAATAAACTAGGTCATTTAACATTCATGAAAAGATTCAAGATAACGCTTTAAGCTTTAGGATGACATTAATTATATATATATATATATATATATATATATATATATATATATATTATAATAACATTGTATGGTCCGAAATTTGAGCAGTTTCGGTGCAGTGATGTCTCCGTCTTGATGGGTCGAATTTCTGCGTCTTCTGGACTAAGAATTGGAAGGTTGTTGGAACGTTTTAGAAAAAAAATCAAACTGAAGCTGGTGAAACAAGTGCGAAGACAAATTTATGTATATTTATTTCAGGATATTCATTTCAGAATATTCATCAACTATAATTTTAATCCACTGGTTGAGAAAATTTAGACCAGGAGGACATATAACGATTGCCGTGCTGCTAACATTATATTATCTATCATATTTATCATTATATAACATGGATTACAAATACAAAGTAGAGAAAAGTTAGAAAAGGAATGAAATTAACAGAAGATGCTGAATTTACCAAAGAAGAACCTGTACCCCGGAATCTCATAAAGCTTAGTGTACATCTCTTACGCAGTACCTGGGTTTTCTCTCTTTTGATCATAGCATATTTGACCGCAGCTACTCCTGAAGTTTTAAAAAACTCAGAGAATGTTACAGGATGCAAATAATATTACCAAAGCGTTAAGAAGAAGGCCGGAGACTAAAACTTGGGATCGTTCAGGATTAGTAGCAGATAATCTCAAAGTTTCTAAAGCGCATGCGTGGAATCTTTTGTTTTTTAACGTGTTGACATCTACAACTAAGAAGGGATAAAAGTTACAAAAGCCTTTCAAAATCAAATAATCCTAAGACATTCATCAATAATCCTAAACTAACACAATAGAAAATTATCCTAAAACAATGGAATTGAACTTTTTCAGAAATCTAAATAATAAGTTTATTCATAAATTCCTTTGTATTGGATATAGAGCTCCATTGATTGCATATTCAGAAAGTTATTAAAGCTTATTGATTTGTAGCATTTAGATTTACGACGGAGTCCTGTTTTCGAACACGTTGCCTCAAAGGTCAGTATCCCACGTCAACTGTATTTAAAAATATAGTTCTTCAAATATTTTTGGATAGAGAATGTAGCTATGTTCCATGAAAACGTTTATGGGCCAAAATGAGCAATCTTAAATTGATCAAATCATACAACAAGACCAGTTGGTATGAACTGGCACCTTATCGGTAGTTTCATACCAGTCTAATTTGTAAGTTATCCTAACGGCACGGTCATGCATTTTTTTTTGAAGTGTACCTTTTTTGTTAGTAAGAAATCGCCATAATCACATACATGCGAGAGAGAGAGACAGAGGGAGAGAGAGACAGAGAGAGAGAGACAGAGAGAGACAGACTAGTCGAGTCATATTACACTAATGATATACGTAACTGACAAGATTACGTAATATTTTTTCAAGTTTGTCCAAGAGGGTTAGTCACAGGTATTCAATAAGATTAACATATCGGTCACAGAGGAGACAATGATTTTGAGATATGGCAGGTAAAAAAAGAATGACCTCAAAAACCTTCAGTTTCCGGGGACAAGAATAGATTCGTTCGGCAAAGTGAATCTTCCAATTAAGTTCATTGTCTGATTCAATACCAAGGCATCTGGTAAACTTGACTTGATGAACTACACTTTCCCCTGTTATTTTACTCTCTGATGTGCTCTGCTACTGCTTTGTTGTGTTCATAACTGTGATGATCTCTCTCATCTTCATTTATATAAATCCAAATTCTCATACTCACATGCGTTGACTGGAACAAATGAAACGACCAAATATTAAAATCATTATAGCTGATCATGAAGACCAATAAACACCACTTTATGACTGAAGTGATAGCTGTTTCAAAAACTTGATCGGAAGTTATCAAGTCAATTTGTTATAGAGGCGCTGTATTTTGGAATTTTGTCTTAGATTATTTCAAAGACTCTTGTGGTTTTAAGCCATGTTATCGAAAGGAGAAATCTAATCCCACATTTAGGGAAATCAGATTTACCAGCTCAAGCCACGCACAGTCGGTGGCGAATTTTTGATTTTTAATTTTAAATTATCTTAAATTATATAAGTACATTTTGCATTGTCATGTAGCTGCTTTACAGTTCGATTATTTATTTGATATATTTTAACTACTTTCACTTGCAGGTTACTTAGGTATCAGGTAGTTACACAAGACCCCTCAAGCATTAAATGATGTTTTCACTCTCATCATTATTAAATAAAGAATCTTATTTACTTAATTGTTATCAAACTCGTTTTCCTTCCGGAAAAAGATGAAAAAGAATACCACGTTTTCAGAGCAGTTGAACAGTTGGATATTCTGAGCGTCAGTTAACAGAAAGGTGTCATCATTTCGTATTTTTGTAACAGCCATTGTGAAATTTGAGAGACAAACAGCCTCTACATATATTTTTATATCTTCTTTGATTAATTTTTTGGTTAAGTTGTGGTAAATTTGTTTTATTTCCCATATTTAGAGGACAAAAATTGAGCTTAATATGGAAGACTTAACAAGACATATTTTCGGATTTATCATGCTGGTCATTTTCTCAAAGGCAACAGGTAGGGCTCAGAAACTAATACTGAATAGAGAAACAGTTATAAAGAAACAGGGAAACAGGAACATCGCTGTAATTTGTAATCAGAGATTTTACCAAATAATGAGCTTCTCATAGTTAGATGACTGATGTTAAATTAAGTACTTGGTGGTCGAATAAGAGAAACTTTTATTCATTTGACGTAGGTGAGGGATTAGGAAAAATCTGGCTCTTTACGTGAACGCTCATTATTTGTAGATTCTAAGATTCTTCTGATAACCCTTATTGGTAGCTAATTAGCAGTCACTTTTTCTATACTCAGTCGGCGATACCTGATTCCCCCTCTTTTCGCCCTGAAAACCATGGGATCCCTTAAGTCTCCCGACCCCTCTCCCCCAATAATTTTGTAATTGGATGGTGTACAATTGAGTTACATTGCACAAAGACGTTGTTTTGGGGGCTATACTTCTATACTTTACCCAAGTAAAATGCGGAACTTCCTTAACTCTTAACCGAGTGTGGGTTGTTATTAACATACAGAGTCAAATATCATCATTAACTTTTTGATAATTTATCTATTCATGGATTCATTTTTGTTTTCTTTCACAGCTCAAAATCTCTCATTGCTCCCAACCATCAGCTTTGGTGGGTCTTCAGCGAAATTTTCTTTCTCTTTGACGCAATTATAATTATGCTTCAATCAAACAACGCAACGCATAAAATACTTGCATTACTGTATATTACCCACTGAATAATAATACTAATACTTACTAAAAGGCGACTGAAATTAAAGAGGGCGGGTACAATGCTATAAGATACTCACTTCCACTATGAACATCACTAAAACCAAGCTTGTAAGCTGTGACTGTGTTGTTTGTTTAGTGTTACGGTAGAATTTAACCGACAGAAATAACACTACAATCCTACAAACTCAACTTCTTTATCAAACAACATGAACTGTTCTTAATAAGGAGCGATTCCCAAAGGCCGTACCGTGATTTTTCTTTAAAAACTTACTTAAGTCCACTACAGTCGATATCTAAGCCCATCACTTACACAATCCCACCGGCAGTTTTCCCCATATCTCTTCGAAATGGACAATCTTCCACATTAGCTCATTCTCGATATAGCTTTCCAGACAGTCCGTTACTTCCGACAACAACAGCTCACAACTAATACACGACTGAGTCTTTACACACATTTAAACGGTATCCTAGAACATTCTGGAAGCTCAAAATGCATCTGTCTTCTTGGTATTACATCATAACTACGTGACCTAATAGAATTTTCTAGGACATTCCATGGTTTGCATGTCAGCTTGACTTGGCATTCTAGAAATGTAGACACTTATTTTACAGTTGTAATCTATAACAAAAGGTATTTTATGGCAATTTCTCACGTGAACTTTTTTCTTGTCACTCGTTACTTACGTCAGCTCAAACCTGTGTGGCGTCAGACGGCACCACTTATAACGTCGGTGACGAATGGATGCCCACTCCTTTTAATTTATGCCGATGCGTCGCACCACTTTCCATCCAGTGCACGTTGATTTTTAGGTGCGCTGATAACCATGGAAACACAAAAAATCCTGGTGACCAGTGGTTACAGAGCCCAACAATCAGTTGTACCTGTAATCAAGGAAACTTGGTAGCATGCACTACTTTAAAACAGCCCGTTTGCATGGATGGCAACGGAAACTTTAGGAAGGATAAAGAAACGTGGACTAACGGTTCTTGCGTGCACTGCACGTGCATTCTTGGTAGCATAAACTGCACTGGTTACCATGTCAATATTACTCATGGGTTGTACAGTGTCAATTCATATCCAACCTGTGAAGGGTGTGAAGTCATGTCTAGAACGCAGGGTGCCCTAAGTTCATGCAGAGGTGAGTTAAAAAAATTGAGTTATTTAACTTGCATAATAATGATTTATGATTGGTCCGGTAGTTTTCTGCGTTTCCATGATCATGTTTAGCAAGTAAAAAGGGATTACCATATTTTCCGACATATCTAAGCCTTTTTCAAAAGAATAAAATAGAGAGGTGTTATGTACGTCTACTTTGTGTCTCTCTCTTGATCTTTTGTTTTCCTTTTGTACGTCTACTGTGTGTGTCTCTCTCGATAATTATTTATTTATTCTATCTATTGTTAGCATATCATGCGACATATTTTTCCCTCCGCCGTCTTGGTCGGTCGATAATTATTTACTCATTGTATCTATTGTTAGCATATCATGACCTCTCTACAAAAGAGAAGCTGTTCCAATGTGCAAGTCGGGGATCCTTTATTCACAAAAGTCACCAGTGCAACAGGATTTATGAATGCCCGGATAAGTCAGACGAAAACGACTGCGAAAATGGTATTTTGCTGTAATCATGATAATTTGCAGGGGATGCCTAAATCTGTCCATTTTTATTTGCCATATTATTTGTTTGTTTGTTTTTTTCTTGGGATTAGGAGGAGATTTTTCACGAATCTTTTTTCGTACTTTAATAGGCTTTTGCAATTGCCCTTGTCTGACTGCTGTATCTTTTCACCTGAGGGACGCGTAAAAATACTTATTCTAAAAGCTATACTCATTACGTTTCTGATGTTTTTTTTTCAGTATTTTACAATTGAAATCACCATAAGAAGTCAACAATGAACATGCCTGATGTTCTAATATTTTCTTTCAGCCGTTTGTAGAGACAATGAGGGCGGTGTCTATCTCATAAAAGATAAAAACGGTTGGCCAGTTTCTCAATGTATGAAGTGTTACTGCAAAGGAGGGCTGCTGACATGCAGCAGACACTTCAAAATAAACTTCCCGGGCTATCTCAGTGGTATCTATACGCAGTATGAAGACTGCAATCAACCTTTATGCAACGTCGCCAAGTTTATACGAGAAAATGGAAATGATTGCGAAGGTATTAGGGAGCTACAATAAGTGACAAAAGTAGTTGGCACGCCTCCCCTCACTCGGTGGTCGGCAATCCCTCCACTCACCATAATAAACAGAAATCTTGTAGCTCATCTCTGATAAGTTACTTGCAAGTCCCCCTCCCGAAACTTGATTATTTAGGTTTTTTCCCCTAGTTTTTATTACTTTTAGCAATTTGAAATTGTCCTCTTTTTTTGTTGTAATAGACCATTACATGACAGGTCCTTCATAATCTTTCGCTTTTGAAATTAAAGTAACTTATCTTAATTGTGCTCCTTACAATTAGGCTTGGAATTTATCCAGAATAAAGGTGTTTATCTAAAAGGCCAAACATGGAAATCTGACGGATGTCAGTTTTACTTTCCTGGCGCCAACGCTGACCCGCTAAACATTTGTCCAGCTATGACCAGACCTGACTGTTATGTCTACAATGGAGCTGTGTGCTGTGCATCTGAGTGTCCAGGTAAGTACTTCGGTCAAGTGTACAACTAAAGGTGGTGGGTGTTGCCGAGGTACATGTGAGTCCTTTCGTTGTGGAGAAAAATTGAAAATTCATGGGTGAACAGTAATTTTTTATGACCTTGGAGGAGGGGAGGGAGATTTTGGGGGATCACATAATTTTCAGGGGTACTGAGCGAAGGGGAAATTGGTCGTCATCAGCATAGTAAAGAGGGGGACTTTAGAAAATTGAGTGTCAATAAGAGAGTGGGGGGGGGGGCATAAGGATATTACAGAGCCTTATTGGGGGTTGGGTCAGGTAAATATTATGACTGGTTCCTAGGGAACGAAAAAGAAAGATTTAAAAAAAAAATTATTGACACGACCTTGTTAAGGGCTAGCTTTTTGGGTCCCCTCCCAAATGCTCCTTGGAAAAAAAATCTGGCCTGGATTTTTCAATTTTATCCTCTCTGACCATCACTAAAATTTGCCATCGTAAACCTTCCTTTTTCGTTCCTTTTTTGTCGGTTCTTGTCAGCTCTGTTTTGTGTTCTCTAGGGAACTTTTCGATCAATATTTTACTCTCTGATCTCTCCAACAACCTTATTCAACATCTCTTCTTCTAGACAATTTTAATGTTCAACAACATAAACGTGATGTTTCTATATATATCTAATGATCGAATTTTTCCCGCTATCTATTATATTTTGGTGACCCTTTTGTTATCCTTATTAAAGTCTTGCCGCAGATTGCACACCAATTGAGAACGAACCTTACTTTGTGTCGCGGTGGCCGTCAGCTTGTGTCAGATGGCTTGAGCTGTAACGACGCTGGTCACTGCCTGAAGAACTTTCACGTCCAGAATTGTTCGTCAGGTAACGAAACTGACATTCAAAATAAACATACGCATTTCTGAGTTACTCTCGTTGTGGAAATAAATCGCATTGGAATCACTTTTCCTTCACTATGTACTGTCCGACAACCGATCATAAAAAGCATTTTTCATGATCACAGTTTTAAGTTTCATTGTTCCTCTTCCTTAGAATTATACTTGTTGACCATAAAACATCTTTAATATTTCATAACTTTTCTGTGTTGACGCTTTTTCAAGCTTAATTGTTTTATATCTGTCTTTTTAAGATTTTGTTTTTGTCATGCGCATTTGAAGTAGGTGGTCACGTGACAGGCAACAGGTGGTTGTTACTCCCTTATTCAAGACGCCTATTGAAAATTATCTATATCTTTCATTCTTTCAAATAACATTTGTGAATTCTTCCTTTCAGAGGTCACCTGTCGCGATGAGGACTCCATCCAGTATTTCGAGGGTGCCACGTGGTCTGTTGGCAGTTGTATTCAGTGCAGCTGTACTCAGGGCAAGATTCGCTGCAAAAGGGAGCTCTTTCTGGTCTCATTTCTCCAGCTTGGGGGACAAAAACCAGCCGTGATCCTGAACGAACCAAATTTCAGTGAGAACTGTGATCAGTTTGAATGTAACGTGGCGAATTTTATGAAGAAAAACAACGGAGTATGTAAAGGTTAGTTTTTTACAATTGGTAATACAATGTATCCCTATTCTTTCCGAATACGTTTCCTCGAGGATACGAGTTATCTTAAAGTGTACTTTTCAACAACACTTAACTGATCTGTTCTCAAGGACAGGGTAATGTTTCCTTTTGATATGATTTGAATTTCGGTCACCCCTTTGGACCAGGTTCGTCTCCTGATTTTGGCGAAATTTTTAATCATCCTTCGGCTCTTTGATGTCAACGTCATTCCCCCTTCAATTGTTTAGATTTTGTTTCCGTTTTGATTTCTTGTTTGTTTATTTGTTTGTTTTCTCCCTCAGCTTGCAGGTGGAACGGCCAATTGTATTACGATGGTGATCATTGGAAGGAAAATGGCGTTGACTTTTACTGCAGCAGCTCTACTTTGCAAGTCAGGCCTGGCTGTTATGTTTCCAACGGTAAAACGACATGTACTGGAGCGATATCAGGTGTGGGTTTAATTCATTAGATTCAAACTTGTTATCAGCCTTGATCCACTGAAAGAAAACCTTGAGTGCTTAGCGGCCTATTAAAGAAGTCTTCACGACCTAGACTCAGGCCTTTTACGGGCGCCTAGGTCAAAAATTTCCTCCACTCTCCTGTTCTCTCGACCTAACGAATGGTTTCTTAAATTTTTTTTTCGTATGTCATCTGCTTACAGGACTACGTGAGCTGTCCTTAATATCAAAAGACGACCTTTTCCTGTGTGAGAGTGGTGACGAGATAAGATCCCTTGGGGACAGGTGTGATGTCAAGAAAGATTGTAACGATCACTCAGACGAACGAAACTGCAGTCAGTGTAAGTATCTGAAATCCACTTTGGTATTTTTGTGAGATGCTGCTAAATTTTGTGTGAGAGGATCTTAAGTAAAAGCAGCGTAAAACAAAGGAGACACGAAAGAAGGAATTACGTCTATAAACATTGTGATATTATATAGAAATAGAAATTATGTACTCAAAAGTAAAATGACCAGAAACTCGATCGAAGAATAGATGGTCGGTGAAGAATTCAACAGAAAACAGACGGTAGCGTCACGTGAACTAAATTGCAGCGAGGCTAAAGGCATTCGTAAAAAAACGTGGTTTAAAAAATTTTCCTGCGTACTATTTGCACACGAAAGTGTATTTAAATTATTTATGAACAAGTACAATTCTTCCCCCCTTTTTTTATAATGTTACCTACGACCTATTTTCAGACTATTGCGCTGCTGAAGAGTCACATGGTTTTGTTTGGCTGAGAGCTCAAGTCGGGAGTGAAACTCTTAAATCGTGTGCCGCCGCAAATTCATCTTGGACAGGTACTACCAGTTTCATCTTAATCATCTCTTCTTGCAGGCAATACTAGTGCTTAAAAACCGACACTAGTATATAGTTGACGCCTGCTCAATCGACCTCGTCGCCTAAAGAGGACTAGCACTATGTTGTCGAAATGTCGCAATCCACATCCGAAGTGACCACATCGTGGGACAAACGATTACACTTTTCTTTTGCAATGTGTCAGTTGTTCTCTAAGGCAATTTAACGAGTCGGAATCCTAAATTCTTGAATCTGATTGGCTAATCGTGTGCTCGAAACTGGTCCAGTTTTATACAGTCCGGACCGCAGTCCAGACGTTTTTCCGGGTCATTCGTCACAAAGCGTTAAAAAGTGAAATCGGCAGAAAAGAATAAAAAGTTATTTACCAGTCTACATTAGCCCGTATGGAGAAAACTGTGCCCTTCGGCTTTAGGTTGTACTCAAGACCTCGGGCACAGTTTTCTCCCATATGGATCTCCTGCCCGGTAAATAACTTATTTATATGACTATTCAATCTGTATTTTCATTAACTAGGGATTTTTGGAAGCAAATGTGTTTATTGGCCTTTATTTGCCACCAAATGGCAACACTTGAGCACATGTGCTTGTGAAAGAAAATCCACGTTGGAGACTTTTAGGAAAAAAGTAAGTTCCATTATGCCAACATACAACAAGGGCTGGTCACGAAACGATTGTATCCATGCTTCTTTAAAGGTTCCTATCTAGTTTTATATCTATGTAAAAACACGAGCCTTAACTATTTAAAATATAGGCTCCAGATCAAAGGATCCGAGAGCAATTGTGTTAATAATCAAGAAATTTTACTCGTTCAGTGTAACAGGAATATCCATGACTGCAACTGGCAGTGAAGCTTAACAAAATGGGAGCGGAAGAGCGAACTTGACCTACCACAGGATAATTGCAACATCCCTAGGTTCAGGGGGGGATAGTTGCATGCGGAATCTTTATGACTGAGAAAGAAACTGAGATTGGTTTCAAGGAGGAAAAATCGTCATGTGAATGAGATATTGCAGTTCAAAGACGATTATGTGAATTTTTATAAATTATCTTTTCAAATGCTCATTTCCTACGAGCTCTTAGACTAACATGTACAATGCTTTTCCACTTTAGTTCGCAAATCTCAACGATACTAACTTCCTGAATGTGTCAAACGATCTGGCTACCGCCGCAGAGAACGGGGATTTCATGAATATTCGGTTGTTTCATGATCTATTCAAAGATTTGTTTTACAATGTAACGCGGTTACTTACTCCAGTTACACTGCAAAATGCTGATAAAGCACTGCAATACTGTAAGGTACGAACTACGAGAGGATACGAAATTACGAGAAATTATTGTACTCAGGAGCAAGTTTAAAAGTTTAAAATCCAAAATAGCTCAAAAGTTGAGTGGTATTATGAGTTATTTTAATTGTCATCAAGGGGAATGTAAAGATTTAAAAAATCTCAGAATCTCGCAGTTATTAGATAAATTGAGTTAAAAAGTTTGGTACAAAGGAGTGTGTCAGCACAAGTTAAAAATTTAAATCCAACTAATACGGCCGCCATTTGATTGTTTTGGTAAATGAATATTGTCGCCGTGACGTCATATGAAATCATACTTTCAATATAATTTTACGTAGGAGTATGTGGAGATATTAATCATTTGGTTCTGATTTCAGAATTTCATCCAAACTCTGCTATCATCTCCGATTTACGGGCGAAAGTCGTCATTTTGCCATAAACCGAAATTGGTAAGCAACAGTTACTGTGACATTGGATCAGAGGAAAGATTGAGCGATAGAGAGGAAACTCGTGATTGAAATTTCTGTTGTTGTTTATTTTTTCGTAGGTTGAAGGCAGGTTCCGATTAATTCAAAGCATTTTTGTTTTGAGCAATGCGAGAAGCCAATGAAAACATATGCTTGTTTTTTATTCTTGACTAACATTCAAAGCGTTTTCGATAAAACATCGTGAAACCACATCCAAAAAAATATCAATGCTAACGAATGAAGTACACTTTGGAAAAACATGATCGGTTTCAGTATTAAATCTGATTGGCTTAGAGGGTGATGTGAGTTCTCCGAGCCAATCACCAAGCGTATAGCCTACAGTACAGTATATTAAGGCATTAAAATCAATGATAGCGGCCGTAACTTTCGCTAAGAAAATACTGAGCACTCGCTCGCAAAAATAATGCCTGCTTTGCAGGTTATCAAACGTAGTGATAAATCACTTTCCTTAATTTATTGATCAAAATTTCAATTAATTTAAAGTACAAAATTTGGTTTTATTGCACAAATGTAAATTTTGTTTGTTTAAGTGTAATGTCTATTTGTTTCCCATAGGCTCATGATCGAAACTTTCATATCAATAGAGCATTAGAGTTTCTACGTCAGGCTCCTAACAATACCGACGCCTTCAAGTATGGCCAGATGGGATTTCATCCAGTCAGGGATATTGAGTAAGTGCCCATGCCTCTTTCGAAATTGCTGATTTCAGCAGAATACGGGACGCGTGTCACATATGAACATATGTAGTTTAGTATTATCAACTGAGTTGATAATACTGGCTCAGAGGTTGAGCGACAAGGCGCAGAAACCGAAGGCCTGAGACTCGATTCCTTTGGATTTTCTTGTCCCACGCTCGTGACAAGACGGTAAAACGTCTTTCTTTATGAAAATACCGTTATTTTTGAAAGTATCCGACGTATGAGCACAAGTCGTATTCTCTAACTGCATATTCTTCGCTGAGACATACAACCGTAGATTTTGTGCTCAATGCGTCGATTGGCAACGAGATGTGGTTCTGAAAGTGTCCAAAGATAAAGCAATTTTCCTGAGCTCTTCCTCTTTAATTAGGATGGTCCCAAATGAAATCAAATTTGGTTGACTAACCTGGGTTGAATTCTCGCCCTGAGTAAATGAACAATGAAAGTAATCTAAAACATTTAGGCCGGTTTTAATGTCATACATATAACTCAAACTTCAATATTTTCAAAGTTGAGAAAGTGGGTAATATTTCCAGTTCTTTACCTCTAACAGTAGCCTTGAAATGATTTAAATTAAACTTAAGTTGAGATAAAGCAGCTAACACTATGAAGCTTTTTCTAACGTAGAAGGGTGATATCAAGCTGAGAGACTGACTTCCTTATATGAACTTTATTCTTAAGGTGATACCTCAAAACTTATGTTCAGATCATTTCCTCTCGCGGACAACCTGTAATCTGGAGCTTATAAATTTTCCGTCACTAATTTTGCTCAGCGGACATTGCATTCAGCGTGTGATCGTTCACACGTTCAGAAATTAAAGTAACAGTGAGGCGCATACGTGGCAGTAAACTTAAGAAGTTTACTTTTTCTGGCGGGCATTTCTAGCCAGTCTCTTAGTCATTGTATCTTGATCGTAATTTTACAGTAGCGAGCCGCATATCGTGGATAACTTCCGGCCAATCGCGCCACAATTTCACCCCATTATAATGAGACAAGAGCTATCTCTTCAGTTAAACACCGCTAAGCTCTTACCAAGAGAGGTAGAAAAACCTATCTCCGTACCTGTCGATAAAAGCAACACCACTGGTAACGTGACAACAGCAAATGGAACAAGAGCTAATACCACCGGCGCTTCCATTGAAAATGTGGTAGGTCATTCAAAAGTGTTTAACTTTAAGCCTTATTAGCCTAATGGATCTTGCAAATCTAGCTTAATGTTGGTTACTTACTATAAGAGACAGTCTCAAAAATGCTCAGATTCCTAACTTTGTAGATGTTTGCATGGGGGAAACTCCAGAATATACGGCTCCACAAATGTATAAATCTTTATAGCTTAAACGATTTTATCGCTTAGGAGGTAAAAAAAGTAACAATTTGCCAGTTGATCCTGTCTTTTATCATTGTTGTCTTTCTTTTTCGTGAGAATAACGAGCTTACAGATGAGGAAATACGCCATCTGCTGCGGGCTAACAACTGCACGAATCTAAAGTTTGATGAGGTAATGTGATTTTTCTCGTGTCAGCTGGTTTAAAACTTAGTTTATGGAAGAGAAGAAAAATTGTTGCGCCTTGCATGGATTTTTTTTAGAGAAAGAAGGTGCGAAGTGACTAGGAGGGGGGTTAATTTAAGTAACTCTTTGTCTTTATTTCTGGTATAGTGAAAAATTGATCATTTTCTTATATTCTTATTTTATCTTAGGAGATCGGGGCCGTCGTTTATAACAAACGGATATCTAATGAATATCAAAGGCACATAGAAATCCAAATTAACATGGAACTAGTGCTAATGTGTATTTCTACGGCAGCAGTGCTTTTGGCCCTAATACTATTGACGGCGTTAAAGTAAGTTTTTTCTTTGACTTCTGAGGGATTATTGTATAAATTAGTACTCTCATCAATTATTATTCTTAGCACTTCTGCCATTGTTGCTTTTTAGAGAAATCCGGATTGCTTTGGTTTAACTTTACTTTGCTCAGAGTTTGGTTCAGAAAATCGTGCCATTTTCTCAACTAATCAGAGTCAAAACTAAAACCAGTTACGTCTCAATTATCCATGTATTTCCAGTTTCCGACGGTTTGCTTCTTATCAGTTTGAATTCTAACCCTGGCCCTAAGCATCAGCTCCTTATGATATTTCCGATGGTCCAGATTGACCATTGTGATTACTGTGGTTCTTCTTTTAAGATTGTCAATCGAAATACGTCTGATTGGTTAACATTCTCGGGAATAATGTTACATGTACATGAACTTACAATGCATCAATTTATGGGGATTATAGAAATGATAAAGGAATTATATGCGGACGAGAGCATAATATTCTTAAATTTATAGCTAGGACATTACTTTCAAATCTAAAATGTTTGAGTTCATTCTTTAGGTTAAGGAGTTCAGAGAGGTTGTTTATACACAAGAGTCTCCTATTGTCTCTGGCACTTGGACATCTTGTGTATATTATGGATAAGACTTTGTTTGATACAAGAGAAAAACATGCGGTGAGCAAATCTTTAGAGAAAAAGTATAGCATTTTAAACTTGTACTGGATGTAAGATGGTTCAGAATGAAATGATATTTTCTACCTAACTACGAATTTTTTCAATTTTTGGTTTATTTAGGCTTTGTGTTCCGCGCTCACGGTCATTCAGTATTTTTTCCACACTGCAATATTTACATGGATGCTTGTGGAAGGAATAAATCTTTACATCAAGCTGGTTAAAGTGTTTTCAGTGAAGAAGCAATATGTGGCATATGTGGCCATGGGCTGGGGTAAATATCCAGTTCATTTCCAATGTAGTCCAGTAATTTGAACTATTTCTGAGGCACAGTTGCAGAAGCTCGTTCGACCCTTTTTTTTGTCAGCCTAAACAAGAAAAGAAACCTTAATTACTTTACTGAATGTAATGAGGAGAAGGAGAAATATACAAGCCTCAATTGTCATTATATCCTGTCCTCCTCTTTTTAAGGAATTCCTATTGTTCTCATGGGGTTCGTGGCTGCTATCAGTCCGTCCACATTTGACATGGGGAAGGCTTCGTATACAGATGTATCATGTGGAGCTCTTCAACTCACAGCTAAAAATGAACGACGCAGGTATTTTTGTTGAAAAGTTTCTACTTTCCAACACAAGCTCCATTTTCGTTTTCTGGGTACAAAAATAGGCCGTCAAACCTAAGGTAGGTTGAAAGTTTAGCCTCAGATTAATTCCGTGAACTACCGTTGTACCTATATTCTTGGTTCAAGGAATTAATCTCCATAATTTGATTTGAGTAAAATAAGAACTTCTAGTGAAACACCGGGGAATAATAGCAAACTCTTTCACTCTATGCCCAACGCAGCTTATTCGATGAAATTTTTAAACCAGAGAAACTTGATTGCATCCACTCTAATAGACAATTTTTTCTCCCACAGATGTTGGATCAACGGAAGTGTTTGGATTTACAAAGGACCCATATTAGGGATTCTAATGGTTTGATGTCTTTTTAATTCAATTGATCTTTATTTCCAGTGACTATCGGAGAAGACCATTTATGTATCTTGGTTTTTCTTGCAGGCAAATACTGTGTTATTTGCAATCCTGCTTCGCGTCATATTTGGAAAAATATCTACTAGATACGGCAATGATCATATGCAAGCTACAAAGTAAGGAAAACTATTTGCATGAACTAAGAACTATGTTCCTCCATTTCGCAAACATTTACTTCGTAATTTCAGCGTGGATGAACTATCTCTTCCAATTGTTTCTCATTAGGAAGGGTATCAGAAGTATCGTGGCCTTGCTCCCGTTGCTCGGAGTCACGTGGCTGCTGGGTTTTTTCCTAGAGCTCCATCATGCTGTAGTATATATCTTTATTCTGCTAAACTCTACACAAGTATGTAATTCAAGTTTTAAAAATGCTTCAATGGTTGACTCCTTAAGGGACTGGTCAATTTTCATCGCTCGGGGAGGAGGGTCGGAGGATTTTGACTGTGTCATGATAAAATTGACTTGATGCCACCTCACTGGGAGTCTTATTTCCATATACCCCTTTTCATACTTTGTTGACGACGACTACTAATCCCCCTTCTATCCCGTGATCTCCCACATAATCCCTCCTTCCCCCCCCCCTCCGAGATAAATTAATTATGACTGATCCCTAAGATTTTTAAAATATAGAAAAAATGTAAATAGAAATGAGCATGACAGCAGTCTTCGCAGTAACTACTTTGGCAGTAGTGAAAATAAGACCTGATAAAAATTCAGGCCTGTGCGGTATTTAAATCCATGACCTCTGCGATACTGGTGCAGTGCTCTACCAACTGAACTAAAAAGCCAATTTGGAGCCTGTCATTATGTCGGTTCGTGATAAACCCGTGAACGAAATACCAAGGCTTCCCGCTGAAAATACTTGTTCTTGTACCATGCAAACATACAACTCCCAGTTGGTCAACGAAAACTATGAATATGACTGTTTCATTTTGATTTTTTCTGTTATGGTCATAGGGAATCGTGTTTTTCATCTTCCATTGTGTTCTTGACGAAGAGGTAGGGAAAATCAAAGCACAATTTTTTTATAATTCTCAATTAGAGGAAGATTCTTGCGATCAGAGGAATTTAATTGCATAATTAAATTCGTTACTATCTCGTCTGCCTTTGATAATTCCTTTCATATTTCAACAGTTTTATCAAGGTTTGTCAGTAATTTACGGATCTGAGTAGTTTTTGTAGGATAAGTACATACCAATAACATGAACCTTCCTCTTTGTCCTCCAATTCTCCCTCGGAAAAAAAAAGGAAAGAAAGGAAAAAACACATTTATTATGGATTTATTATGTCTAGGTTCAAGACGCAATCCGAAAGTTATTTGGCCGGAAGTCTGGTGAGCTACCAAAGACGAGATCAACACCAGTTTTGAACCATAATAATACATCTGAGATGGAGAGACACTCGGTGGTGAACCTCTTGCAGGAATCCTGTACGTTTGAAGTATATCGCAAATTAATTGTAATAAATTTGATTGATTTGCTTTCCATAGAGTTCAATTATTTATACACACGTCTGTTCGTTCGTTAATTCATTCATTCAATTAATCGTTAGTTTATTTATCCGTACCTTCGTCCTTTCCTACCGTCATCCCAACTTAATTACCTTACCTCCCTTTCTCACTTCACCTCTCTATCTAACACTCACCTACCAGCCCTTTCACCTTCCATACACCTTCATTCCTTTGTCCACCCATTCGTTCATTAATTAATTAATTAATTCAGCCATTCACTTCAATCATTTATGGGGGGAAAAGGAAACTATAAAATCGAATATCAAAAAGCTGCATTTTTTCGTCTGCTTTTCTGTCGCAGTCGTGCAGGGCGAATGAGAGAGGGAAAATGAGTGTACTAAGAGAGTCAAGTGATGACAAAAATTGCAAGACATTGTACAATGTTTGCTCTACAATTTCGTTTTTCAGCGGGGAAAATAGATGGAGTTCACGGCATGATGAACACGGAAAAGAAGAATAACGAAAGTTACTTATAGATAAGAATACTTAGTAAGAATTAAACTGATATTAGAATTAATTGTTAAAGATCCAGCGAAGGTCATTTCAACATTTACAATTAGCATAAAATGTATGTTTAGATACAATATTGTATTATTATTATTATTATTATTATTATTGTATTATTCGCGTTTTTCGTTCTCCTTTTATATTGTATTCAATTTTGTTCGGTGAGATGGAATATTGGAAGGAGGCAATGATAAACCAAGAGGGTAGAAGGATGTGAAGATGAGCTTGTATTATAAATATCTACATAATGTTTGTTGGGTAAGATAGAAAATCTCAAAAGACGTAATTACAATAAATCGAGAAGGAACAAAGATGGCTGGCTGAGGAAAGAAAATATTAAAAGAGAATCTCAATGGAATTAACTTTTAGATGTACAACGGTTAAGCATCAAAATTGACAAATTTCAACTGCTAGTCGTAAAAAGAATAAACCGTTAATTTTTTTTAAGCGTCATGGATAGAATCTATTATTAGCTGTAAAATGACCAAACTTTTGACCGTTAGCCGTGAAGGCCATTACCCCAGTAAGATTCTGATTCATTAGCTGTTGTGTTCAGTTGCATAACTGTTAAACCTACAGAGAACAAAATGTGTAATAAAATCAATATCAGCATCGTACCAGAGCTCCCTCGTCATTTGTAAGAACTGGCTGCTCGCCCTCTCTCTGATCAAAGTAGGGGTTCACTTTTAACTTCTCTCCATCATATTCATACGGTATTCAGCAAACAGGTAATGACAATATTCAGACTTATTAGATAGAAGTTGTTGTCTTAATCTAACGCCAAATTCTCATTTAGTTTAGTACTAGAGGTGCGAATTGACAATTAGATTCTCGGTTAAAAATTTCATTATTCACCTTTCCTTGTTATATCATTGAAGGAAAAATCCTGGAAAGTAAGGAACTGTTGATCAGGGAAGGATTCTGGTCAGTACAAGCTTTGTCGGCTCAATTGTAGATACGCGAATTAAAGAGTGTACTCGCGTTGCTCGTGGACTCGATAGTTAAAGTTTTGGGACGTTGACAGGTGGAAAGGGGGGGAAAGCTAACGGCGAAGTGTTACCCACGCTGAGGCAAGACATCAAAGGATCTGTGTTGGTTTCTTTCAGTCTTCTTTATTACCTTTATAGCGTTGCTCGTGGACTCGATAGTTAAAGTTTTGGGAAGTTGTAAGGTGGATAGGGTGGGAAAGCTAAAGGCGTAGTATAACCCACGCTGAGGCAAGACACCAAATAACCTATGCCGGTTCCTTTCTGTCTTCTTTATTACCTTTAAAAGCGTTGCTCGTGGACTCGATAGTTAAAGTTTTGGGACGTTGGAAGGTGGATAGGGTGGGAAAGCTAGAGGCGTAGTATAACCCACGCTGAGGTAAGACACCAAAAACCTATGCCGGTTCCTCTCTGTCTTCTTTATTACCTTTCTAGCGTTGCTCGTGGACTCGATAGTTAAAGTTTTGGGACGTTGACAGGTGGATAAAGTGGGAAAGCTAGCGGTGGAGTATATCCCACGCTAAGGCAAGACACCAAAGAACCTATTCCAGTTTCTTTCAGTCGTCTTTATTACCTTTATAGCGTTGCTCGTGGACTCTATAGTTATAGTTTTGGGACGTTGATAGGTGGATAGGGTGGGAAGACTAGCGGCGGAGAGTAACCCACGCTGAGGCAAGACACCAAAGGACCTATGCCGGCTTCTTTTAGTCTTTTTTATTAACTTTATCGCAACAACCACTGCTACAGTTTCTGTTATTCTCTACAACGTGACAACAAATTCAATTCTCCTCTTTCAGTAACTTAAGAGTGCACGCTTCTATAACTATTCACTATCGAATATCACGAGCGGATATGCTGGCCGCGATCTCACACGATTATTATCTGTATTTAAACAAACACTTTCACGAAAACCTCAAGCAACATACTCAATGCGTTCGAAAAAACCCATCAGGCGTAGGTCCAAGGTAAGGCCAAAATACAAAGTAAAAACTGCACGCACTCGCACTAAAACTACAAAATAACCAGATAAAAATGCTCTACTAACAATATCTGATTGCTGAAACCCAAATAACCTTGGAATTAAAAGATCAATCCTATCCAAACGATGAATACCTAAAAGGAATTACTAATCCCTACTTTACAATATTCGCAATGAACACACAAGTTAAAGCTTCACTCCAAGGCGAATGACAGAGCGTGTGCATGAAAACTAATGATTAAATAGAGATGATTGTTCACGATCAATTCTTGCCTTCCCAGTTTTACTTTTTGAAAGAATAAAAGAGGAAGGGTGCGTAGGTTGCTCTTGTACTCATTAGGTAAAGAAGTTCAGCAAGATCTGAGGCAAGCGGACAACCATGGGACCCTTGTTGTTGCTCTATTAATATGGATTGCCCGTTGGCAATCGTGGAACTGTGGAAAAGTTCTTTAACTTCGGACTTATGCGTTCATGTCAGGGTCAGGGTGTTTGGCATTTGCCGAGACAAAGGCCGGATTGTTAAAAGTAAAGTCTTCCTTAACCCTCTCTTTTGCTGCAGAACGTCTTCCTCTAGCACAGTAAACGATCCAAGCAACCAGTATGAGGACACAAAGAACCAGGCCAGCGGCAGCAGCAGCGATGAAATACCAGGGTCTACCCCGCGATGCTTTGCCAGCTTTACCTTGAACTTTATCCTGAACTTTACCGGCAATAAAAGATATCAGGTAATAAGCTGAATCATACATGCATTTTGATTAGTTCTTCATGTTATGATATATTGAAGGATAATAAAGATGACGTAACCATTTACAAAGCCTTGCTTTTTAAACATATTTAATCCATATTGACCACACTTTGTGACGATAAGTTTTCGCTCGCTACACTGGAATTTTCGGAAAACGTACAAACGGGGGGGAATTAGCTCGGTAGAGGCCCTTCGGCTTGCGAGAACGGAAACTTGTCACGGTTTCCTGGCACACGGACATCTGCTTCGAGTGAGCTTGTACGGATGTCAAGGAAGAGACAGCGTTTTGGGTCCACAGTAGATTATTATTCTAGGTCAGGCCAACAAGCGGCATGACCTCTAGCGTACTCAAGTTTGTAATCATCAAAACTGTACAAGTACTTACTTAAGAACTAACTGGTGTGAGGTGCTATTGTTACACAGATCGCAATATTTGAATAGGGACACAAAGGAGCGGAAAAAGATCTCTTTGAAGTTAAACGAAAACTACTTAAATATTCCATCTGTTTCTACGACGAAAAGAATCTCAAAATTAAAAAGACGGATGCCATAAACTCGAGGCCATTAAAGTAGGAAACTTAGATGCGAATTCACAGCTCTGATATAAAAAACAATACCTATCGTAATTGCAGTAGCGCAGCTTAGGAAATAAAAACGGAAAGGCAATTGAAAGTTTCTGCTTATCTATGCAAGGTTGGTGTGGAAACTATCGTATGAAAAGAAATTAAAGTTACGAGTATAAACTCAGCTGCTAACTACCATGAAAACCAATTTTTCCAGAAAGACCATCAACACTTATATTTACCTAAAAAACCATGTAATAAATAACAAAAGTGCCGCCATGCAGGTGCATAATGAAAGCGAGTAACAAGCAAAATCTATTCTAAAAGCTACTGTGGTTTTTATACATTTTTTTTATTTATTGAAATGAAAGGACTTGAAATAGTTAAATGTGAAAGTTTACGAATAAATATGTTCCGAATAACACGCACGAGAAAATCAGTAAATTTTCCCGTAACAACTTTTCATTGGTTTACGGATGTAATAACCCCTTGGGTTGTTCGGTGAAGACTCGAATATTAAAAACAATCGTTACAAACCCGGCCACGTGACGAACTCGGTTTGTTTTTCCTACATTTTGACGTCATCCATTTGTTAACGAGATTGAAAATACAGTTATCAATGAATTATCCAGATCAGTCTCATCCAAGTTGGCCGTAGGATAAAACAATAATTCTCTTCGTGAATTTTTTATTAGCTAAAGATGTAAAAATCTTTGCACTATTTGTCATAGGGGAAACTCAAAAGCTTAACCGATTAAAGAGAAACCAGGGTCACAAAACAAGTTAAAAGACGCAAAAAAAAAAAAAAAAAACTAAGCCAGGTATCGTAAAAAAATAATGGCAATTGATCTGGATAGAGAGTATTTTTTTTCCGATGTCAAGCTTGCATCGTATGTACAATTTTATTCCAAGAGTGCGCGAAACGAAGTTAAATCAAAACTTATCTTATCCATTTGTTTTTTATTTTTTATTTTTTGAACGAAAAGGATACTTTAGGAGCAAGAAGCAAAATTGGCTACAATGACATTGGCTATTTTGCCATTTATTTTCCCACAATTTGATGGATTGCTTAAAACAAGCCTTAAAAACTGAGTGGTTATTTTGTTTTGGTGTTGCTTGCTCATTGGTGGGGAAAGGGATGCAATTTAGAGAAGAAAATAGTGCGATTTGGGAATAGATGGCACTACTGAGAGCCAATCAAATCGAAAATGACAGTTGTCGATGAATTATCCAGATCAGTCTCGGCCAATTTGGCCGTGGGATAAAAAAGTCATCTTTTTTATGAATTTTCTATTTTCTTTAGATGTATTTTCTTTTTCATAGGGGCAACTCAAAAATTATTCATCGGATATCTCGGCGATGTATACATTTTTAAGTTTCCAGCCACTAGCTTCTGGGAATGTATATTGGTTTGAAATAATACTATTCTATGAGCACTACCACGGAGCGAAGGTAGCTTCTTGCCGCTACATTTTTAAAGAAAATAACAGTAACATCGGCTACTTTGCCATTCATTTTCCCACAAGTTGATAGATTACTTTAAACAAGCCCTAAAAACTGAGTGGTTATTTTGTTTTTAGTGTTACATTCTTTTTCTTAGGGGAAGGGATGCATTTTAGAGAAGAAAATAGTGGGATTTGGGAATGGCACTGCTGAGAGCCAATAAGATTTCAAGGATCAGGAATTTCAGGAAATTGCTCACCCGTAAGTCCATAATCGTACCACGATATGTTATGATCGATTTACCATTATTTCATCACCTTTACTCCTCGGTACAGGTATTTACACGGTACTTACATAGCTGACCAAACTTGTTATGAATGGTGGACTGATCAGAGTTATGGTCCAAGGTGGATCCATCGGGAAGAAAGAAATCGTTCTCTTGATTCCCGTCCCATAACCCTACAAGACCTCTTGTAGCTCCTAAATAATGATATTATACATTGGACTTACTAGAAAAACCCTGATTGGTCGAGAGCATGCAATCATTATGCAGTAGCGTGTGAAGTTGTCGTGGTAACCCAATATCTGCAGCAGATATTGGGTTATCATGTCGTTTTCAAGGTCTGCTTAGTTTCCAAGCCCCTCGTCCGTGAAGTGTTCTCAAACTTTTAAAAACCCAGAGAGAAGTGTGTTCTTTGGAGATTTTATCAAATGCATGACAAATAAAGTTTTGGATTCGGTTTTCATATGATATCATGAATTGTTAAAGATAACTCGGACCTCGTCATTGGTAATTCATGATATCATGCGCGACCTCATCCAATAATCGCTTATTGTGTAACAAAAACGTACTTACTCAGAAAGCAAATCACAATCCTTCGTTTAAAGGTTCTTACTTCTA